GTGTGTGTGTGTGTGTGTGTGTGTGTGTGTGTGTGTAGGTATATGGGATGTGTGCATGAAGTGTATGTGTGGGTTTACACAGTCACCTCTCTCCGTGTGTGTGTGTGTGTGTGTGTGTGTGTGTGTGTGTGTGTATGTAGGTATGTGGGATGTGTACATGTAGTGTATGCATGTGTTCACATAGTCACTTTTCTCCATATGTGTGTGTGTGTGTGTGTGTGTGTGTAGCATCTGTGTGTGTGTAGTGTGTGTATACACGCACATATGATGTGCAAGTGAGGGCAGGAGGAAGATGTTGATAGTCTTCCTCTAATAATCTTACTTTTTGAGACAGGGTCTCTCCCTGAACCTGAGGCTTGACGTCTTGTCTAGGCCGGCTCCCTGCCCAGAGAGCTTCCAGGATCTGCACATCTCTGTCCTTCCAATGCTGGGTAACAAATGCTGGTATCGATATCTAGCTTTTTAACATGGGGGCTGGGGATTTGAACTCAGGTCTTCTTCTTTCACAGTACACACTGTCACCCACTGAGCCATTTCCTCAGATCTACTTCCTATATGTTCTATTACAAAAGAGTATGATAGAGGCTCACTAAATTGGTCTCATCTTCCACTGATTAATGAATCCAATTTGCATTCTGAAGTAGCAACATACACCACACACACCAATGCTATACATATATACACACATATATGGAGAGAAGTGACTGTGTAAAACCACACATACACTACATGCACACATCCCACATACCTTACCTACCTACACACACACACACACACACACGCACGCGCGCGCGCACACACACACACACACACACACACACACACACACACGCACGCACACACTATACATATTAGGAGTAGGAGTGACTAACATAATGGGCATGTTTTTTTTTTTCCAGGGTGATAAAATTTTCTGAAATTACCAGCAACGGCTGTACATTACAAATCTAATGCTGTAGATTCTAAAATGATAAAACTAGTAAATTTCATGTTATATGACTCTTAGCTCAATAAAAATCAACCATTACAAAAAACCTCAGCACATCATTACTAGCGAGCATTACATGGTTTTACAAAACCATTTGTCAGTTATGTTTTTGTGTGAATTTTGTCACGATGCAAAAATTACTGAATAATTACTGAGAGGACTTCTAATCCTTTGTTTTATTTCTGAGACAGCATTACACTATGTTGCCCAGCTGACCTTGAATTTGTCATCTTTTGCTTCCCTAGGAATGTGCACATGTTACTGTACTTACCTGGGGCATCTGCTTCTCACTGTGTCCTCTTATCTCCTCCAAGTGAAACCCTTTCCTTAGAGGATGCAAGAGATCTGACATGTGTGTGTGTGTGTGTGTATACATGGCACATCTATTCAACAAATGCTTATTAAAGGCTCGATCAGGAAATAAACATAAAAGTAAGTGTGGATGAAAAAGGGAGAGCTATCAGTTCTTTCTCAGGATGCAATGAGGAGATGGGATTACGAAGATTCAAGGAGGCTGTAACCATTGTCATTTAGACTTCTGCTACACAAACTCTAGACTTGTTGACATCCCTGCATTGGCCTCTACAAACTGTGTGAAGAAATTTGCTTTCACATCTGACAAGAATAAGGAAGACAGGGTAGAGAAAGAAAGCAAAGAAGGAACCAATCAGGCTAACACTACGGAGCACTTCTTCTTTATCAAGCACAGGTACTTTTTAGTTTAAGCTTCTTAATAACTCCTCAAAGTATCTATTCATATCCACATTTATGTTCTCAAAGAAGAACATTTTCATGTGTCTATTTCATTTCAGCTGTGTAGCAACACATAGATCTTCAGCTGAGACTAGGGAATATGCCTCATTACTAGGTACTTAAATACAAAAATTTTCTCTACAGCCTTCTAGTTTGCCATTCATTTTGTGATTCTTCAGAACTGATTTTGTTTCAGGATGACAGCTACAATTTCTCAAAGCTATCATAAGGTGGGAAGGCCATGGACAAGGACAAAAGATAACCTACAGTCCAGGCATTGCAAGGACAGAGAGGACAAGAGGAACAGAGAGGCAGAGTGTGGATGAAAGACACGTGACATTGCTGGAAAATCAGTCCCAGCCGCAGAGCAAAACTGAGGGAAGAACAGAGCTCCCAGTCTGCCGAGTGGGAGCCCCGTGGACAGCCACCCAGAACTATCCTGAGTTAAACGACACAAGAACAGCATGTGCAAATAATTATGGCTTGGAAAGCGAAGGCTGACTGACCATTGCTTGGAGCCATTAGTGGATGTCAACTGGGAAGGAAATGTGATCACTCGCCACTGTATGTGAGCAGGAGACCAATGGAATGAGGGATGGTTGAGATTGGGGATATAGGGAGACTCCCAATAAGAAGCATGGGGTCAAAGAAGTCTTAGAATATGACAGTAGACAAGAAGAGAAACTAAACTTAGAATATTGTAATGTTAGAGATAACAGCCAAAGAAATAGAAATGTTATTTAAAACGAGCATAGCATGTTTTAGGCTGTGGTAGTTAGATCAAAAGCAAACACATGAGACGTCTGATGGTTTTTCCATACTAGCAACTGACAAAGATTCATGTAAAACCTAAGAAGAGAACTCTGATTCAAAAAAAATAAGATTTAAAAGAAAGAGCCCGGTACCAGAAACAAGAAGAAATTGAGTACTTATCATGTACTACCCTCTGTGCTGGAGGCTCTCCTACTGTTTAATGTTCAAAATGAACCCAAAGCAGGAACTATATTCTCTCTTTTCTAGATAAGAAATATAAGGCTTGGATTTCGAGTTCTCATAGTTGGGCTGGCTTAGCAAAACGAACTATGGTATACCAGAAGGACAGGATGCCTTTCAAAGTTTAAAGTTCACATGATGGGGGTGGAGAGACAGCTCAGTGGATAAGAGCACTTGGCCGTCAAGCATAAGAACGTGTTAGCCACAGTCCCCACATTAAAATGCAGGTATGCTTGAGCAAGCTTGCAAACCCCAGCTGTGGTGACAGGGTAGTACTGGTTACCAGCCTACTTCTAGTGAGAGAACCTGTCTCAAAGGAATAAGATAGATAATAGAAAAAGGAGAGTTGACGTCCTTCTTTGCCCCCCCCCACACCACAACACATACATACAACACACATACAATAGTCACATACAACACATACACATGCACATACAATAATACACACATACAGCACACATACATACATGCATACAACACATATACATATCACACAGACACACATACATACAACTCACAACCCCCTCTCACAAACACACCCACACACCCATAACCTCCTACCCCAGAGTTGATATGCTGAGACAAAACAGAATGAAACCAACCAAGATAACTTACTCTTGGACCAGGTGCTCCAGGTGGACCCTGTAACATATTCAAAAAACAAAATGAAACAAACCAAAACCCAGCTGGTAAATATCTCAAAACCAGGCAGCTGAATATTAATGGCAAACAGATATAAACATAAATGAACTCACAGGAGGTCCTGGTTGACCCCTTGGTCCTTGGGGACCCTAAATGAAAGGAAGAGAAAGCACAATATATAGGTAATTTGCTTTTGGTTTGATATTAACCAAGATCCAACCTCTGCCATTGCCTATTGATGTTGTGAATATGTAAATATGTTTCCATATTTAGAAACTCTTGCTTTAACTATGACCCACAATTCTGAACAACCTGGAAATTTAATTTTTGCGGGGGGGAGGGAACTACTTGCTTATTTTAACAAATTAAATAAATTGTGATGTAAAATCTTAATACAGTCTAAGCTATTTTTTAAATATATATAATTTATCTATTTATATTTTTATGTACATTGGTGTTTTATATGCATGTATGTCTGTGTCAGGGTGTCATATCCCCTAGAACAGGAGTTACAGACAGTTGTGAGCTGCCATGTGGTTGCTGGGAATTGAACCTGGGTCCTCTGGAAGAGTAGCCAGTGCTCTTAACCTCTGAGCCATGGCTCTAACCCCATCCTAAGCTATTTCTATTTGCACCACCTAATCACAAAAGCTAGAAACTTCATTGTTTTTTATGTATTTTTCCTTCATCTATTTCTAAACTGTATCCTTGTAAACATTGCCAAATTGGTTCTTTATTTTCAATGTAAATCACACATTATGGCTTAATACCTGCATCCCCCAACCTCTGAATAATGTCTTCATTTTTAGCCTGCAATGGGGCTTTTGAGATGTAATTGGGTCATAAGGGTAGACTCTCTAAAGAGATTAATGCCATTATGAAAAGAAGCAGAGAGATGATCTGCTCTCCTCTGTTCCAGGATAAGGGTAGAAACTGGCATTCTGTAAGCCAGGAATAGATCAGTCTGTTCATCACACTAATGCCATTCTTTTTTAGAAACTGGAACCAATCACACTACTAGTCATCCGGGGCTCTCATTCAGAGGTGAAGTATAAACTTCTTAGTAGTATGGCTCACCATCCATCCTGAGCTCCTTTTATGTGCTGTGTTTCCACGTCACACATCAGAAAACAGAACAACTGAGTAACCAGCGAATGAGGAGCAGAGGTAGTACCAAGACCTAAGTCAGCTAAATACAGAAGTGATGTCCTTAGACACCTCATCCTGTTGCCTCCTCTTCAAGGTGAGGTCTTTATCAATACATCCTCCACACCTTTTATAGACAGCTACTTGCACATCTCTAAACTCTCTTCCCTTTTCTCCTCCCTCTCCTTCTCGTTCTTTCTCCTGTCTTCCTTCCCTTCACTCCTTTCTTCCTTCAGATTTTCTCTCTGTAGCACAACCAGCCTCAGACTCCCACTTCTCTCGTGCCAGGCTCCCGAGTACAGGGATTATAGGCATGTACCATCATGTCTGGCATCCCGAGTA